GCTCATATATAAAGAAGCTGCAGAAATTTAATAATTAAGCTTACTGAGTTTTTTTCATCTACTTCTATTCAGTTTCTCACTGTATGGCGGGTTTGATATCTGCCATCTGCCTCAAGTTTTTTGTATGACACATAATTCGAAGAATATTTTTCCTGTTTGTATTACCTCTGTCCAGGAAGTCTGAGTCATATGAATTCCTAAATATGAGCATAATATTTCTTGCTGTGTAAGAATGTTACTCAACAAAGTACACATTGATGTAACTGTAACATAAAGTTACGGTAAAATAAGATAAGATGATGATAACATGATGTCGACATATCTTGGAACTCATGCAAAACATGAGTTGTGAATGTTTCCTCAGAAATAAGTCAATGGTCTGGCTCCCAACTAAGTGTTCTGTGTATTACAACCTTAATGCATCTAGCCAGCCTTAGAAATTAAAAGGGCCATTTTGCAGAAGGATTAGCTAGATTCAAGTAAATGTTCTTCTGTAAAAAAATGAAATTCAGAAGACCTGAATCCAGATATTGTGGGTGAGAGCTGTTGATTATTAACCAATATGTAAGCCATTTTAAAAATCTGTATTTATTCTTTCGCCATAGTTCTGAAACTGAACGGCAATATTGTAATACCGTATATATTAATATTATAATATAAATTAAAAATGTAGAGTGAGTGATTCTTCACTGATAACATCACTGCCAACAAGAAAATTATGTTGATTGCTGGATGGATTAAGAAAACTATGTAATTAGAGTCTTAATAACTCAGGTAATCAACATAATAGGAGCTGTATTTAAAATTCAAAGAGTGAAGGATCTGTAATATCAATTTCAAGCACAGATTCATTCATAAACCTGCTGATCAGAGGGCAAAAATTGAAGTTTCTGCAATAACTATGGCTATGCAGTGCTATGGATCTGAAGGGAAAAAAATCCTTTGGTTCACACACAAGCATGCACATACTATAACTCTCCCAGAATCACACTGAAGCTGCAGAGGACAGTCACAGGATCCTGGGAAAATATGTGGTTGATTTAAAGAGTTACAAATTGAGGCCACATGAGGATTTTTTTGTTGTATAAAGGTGGGAAGTGGGGATTGGCTCCTTTTCTTGTACACTCTCCAGAGCATATTGTTTGAGTTGGACAGCCAAATAAATAAGGAGATGGATTAATCCTGTGAATTGCATTATCATTAATATTATAAATATTAAATAACTACCAGATAACTTTACTGGTGTTTATTTCCAGTTTCTGGCAAACACCCCCCCCCCTTCTCATTATGGATTCATTTCATGAGCACAGTATTCTCTTAAGACCACTGCAAAAAATGTTGGAAAAACAGGTCCAGTCACATGATGTCTTGACTTAAGCTGTAATTCCAGGCTTTATTACAATTGTAAGTCAAGGAACTATCTTTTTTTCACAGAAGAACTCATGCACTGAGATTATCCTTTGGCAGCCTCTGCACTCAGAGTAGTGGCTCCTGCAAAAGTCCCCACTGATTTTTGAACAAATTGAGGCCCTCTTGTCTCGTCGCACCTTCCCTCTGTTTGTCTTAAGGCACTACAGCTTTGACATTATTTTTTTTCATACAGTAAATCAAAGCACTCCTGGCTACAGGAGAAAATATGTAACCCATTTTGTTTGTTTTATTCCCCTCTTATTTTTCTACACATTGGACTCATTTTATTTCCAGCAGGATTTCTGCTGCTCATTGTACAGGAAGAAATAACTTTCCCAGATTATAGAACTTCTTTCTGACTTGTTAGACATTTGATTTATTAAATATATCAGTGGTTATCAATGTATTTTACTGTCAAGCTGTAGTGAAAATTCTACTACTCATGTGCTACTGACAAGTGCCATATACTACTGTTAGAAGCCTGGGCTGGATTAATTGCTCCTGACGTTGGTTCCTCCTAGGCTGAGTCACGATTCTGCACAGGTACATCACGCAGCAGGCATTTCTTGTGCTATTAGCCAGTCAGGGAGCAAAAAAACCCTTACTTTTCTCACCACTGAATTGCATTTTGTTGGATAGGGTCCAGTGTTTGAGTCTGTCAAGATCTTTCTGGATCTTAAGCCTATCTTCTAAGTGTTAGCTATTCCCCCCAGCTTGTTGTCATCTGCAAATTTGATGAGTTCCCCTTCTGTTCCCTCATCTAAATCATTTATGAAGATGTTGAAGAACATTGGGCCTAAGACAGAACCTTGGAAGTACCCCACGGCATGCTCCCCTCCCTGTAGATCTAGTTCCATTGAGGACTACACATTGAATGCGGTTGGTCAGCCAGCTGTGAATGCAGCTGATAGTAATGCTGTCTATCTCACATTTTTCTATTTTGGCACTAGTTTTACAGCTGACAATTGTCACAGTGTTTTAGGAATAACCATGGTTTTCAGCAGTCTGGATTAATGAGGTTGAGCATTAACGATTGATGCACGTTTGTAAACGCCACAGCCGAAGATGAAAAAGCATGCCATTAAACTGATTTTCTTGCTTCAAAGAAACCTTGAACACTCCATGTCTCCGAATATTCTATTCTTGGCAAAATAAATACTACTTTAATTAGCTTGCTATTAACATAGCCATGCATGTTTTGTAGCCTGCTAGAAGCATAACTAGAATTGGGGCCTAATGCCAAAAATCCAACAGCATTTTCAAAAACTACCTACAGGCTTTAAAATTAAAAAAAAAAAAAGTCATGACATAGCAGGCAACTGCTGAAAAGAAATACTCAACACTTTTAACTGATGGAAAGTTCTATACACCCAGCCCAAATTGGAACATTTTATCCATCATGTACATTTCTATCAATTCTTTTTGTTGTTTCAACCCTTGTGCTAGGAGACAGCCCTAGTTTGCAAATAGTTGCCTCACCTTGATAATATTTATTGATAGTTCATTGCACAGCAGGTTAAACAAGTGACCTGTGAGTTTTCTACCAAGAGATCTTAAAGTAGCCTTCAAACCTGACTACTTCTTCTGTGTTGTTTATTAGTTTTTACTGGACAGAAACTTTTTGGTTGTTTCTGTCCAACTGATCTGTAATGTTAGAAAATCAACTTGACTTGCAAAGATCTTGCAAAGAACTTACATCAGTTTTCAGTTTTGTTATTCAGCATTTGGATACTCAGAAACAAATTAATATATTGTGGTTGGAGTGCATACGGTTAATTCTGAATTGATTGTATTTGAACAGTTTTATTTCAAAGATTTATATGACCACCCAACTCAGAAATTGATACTGCATGATAGTTTATAAATTATATGTCATAAGCAGAACAAGAAATGTAAGTCTGGAACGGCCTTTTAGGAGGTGGGCCAATATTCCCCTGTCATAATTTGTGATTTGTAATTTGGATAAAATAAGCTATTAATCTCTCTCTGGTACATTAGCATGTCAGAGGGAAGGGAGAAAAAAGGGACCCTGTTGGTTTGGGAAAATAGTTCCAAGGACTGTGGGGAACCTGATGGTGGGAAGCAGAACATGGGGTGTCTCAGGGGTGTGTGGAAGGCCTGGGGCAGAGGGCCTGATCCTGTGCTAGGCCTCTCCACCCCAAGGCACCCCATGTTCTCCTTAATGAGCGACATGATCATTTAATAACCACATCAGCGAAAGCAGGAGATGGGGTCATTAAGCAAGGTGATCTTGCTTAACCACCATTATAACATGTGACCATAATGGGCAGGCTCCCCATTATGAGTCTACTTATATAAAGATACTTTGAATCTGTGTTGGAAATGTGAACGATATAAAGGGATGTTCTATCATGTTTAGTGGATATGTTAAAGAGCTGTAAAGAGTGGATACAAATACATTGATTCAGGACATTTTGAAGACTAAAGTACAATTAAAACAAGAGGCTTTTCTTTGGGAACTGATGGACAGTTAACTAGAAAAAATGACATAAACCTTTATTTTTATTTTTGACATGTGCAGCAAGATTGCTAAGTGGTCAAAAATGGGAAGGTTCCATTCTGCCCACGAGAGAGGAATGGCTGGTTAAGATGATGGAACTGGCAGAGCTGGTTAAATTAACTTATTTACTTAAAAGAAAAAAACAACATATACATTTATGACTGTCTGGAAACCTTTTACAGACTTTTTTCATGAAACAGAAAAAACACACTTATGGCTTGTGGTTTAGATGATTAGGAAAAAAAATAGATAATAGAAAAAAGTGAACTTTTTGTATTGTAATCACAGAATAAGCAATGAGTAACCAGTGGTGGGATTCATATATGTGAACAACTGGTTCTCTGTGTGGATGCCACTTCCGGAAGTCCGTTCTGAGCCTGGGCAATAAAAAATTAGCTACCGGTTCTGCCGAAGTGGTGTGAACCGGCTGAATCCCACCTTTGTGAGTAACCAAGCAAATATCCACACTGTATTTCCTGCAAAGAAAATTGGCAGCTTCTTTCTATTCCTATTCTTTTCTCTCTACATTTTTCTCTTTTCTTTTTCCTTTCTCCCTTTCTTTATTTTAAATTATGTATTAGTTTGTGTTGGTTTTAGTGTTTCCTTTAAAACGTTAATAAAATTAAAAGAAAAAGAGTGATACTATTTGCAAGTGCTTTCTCCATTCCCCCCCCTCCATAGATGAGACAAATATTCTTCAGTTTTAAATGGAGCTCCCTCCCATTTCTTGTAGAATGAAGGTTTGCTTAGAAACTCCAGATAAGTTCACTCTCACTTTTCTCCCACCAAAACACTGTAGTTAGGAGTTTAATAAACAATTACAAGATGGCTTTCCAAATTTCAAAGTGCAGCTTTTCTTTCTCTTTGCTTTTTGTTCTGTGGTAGACATGAATGATCTTTAACGAAGTACAGCCAATGATTAAAAAGTAAAACTCTGCATTTCAACCACAGGTTGAGGTAGCTACTCGACCATCTTAAGTCTGCTCTCTGACAGTGCGTTCAAACTTAATAGCTTTCCTCCACGCATAATCCTCTAAGTCTCACTGCTGTCCTTCTGCTTGTGTTACAGGTTATGGTCACACTGTGCCTTTGTCAGATGGAGGAAAAGCCTTTTGCATCATCTATTCGGTTATTGGGATCCCCTTCACCCTGCTCTTCCTGACAGCCGTGGTCCAGCGCATCATTGTCTATGTCACCAGGCGGCCTGTATTATATTTCCACATCCACTGGGGCTTTTCGAAGCAAATTGTGGCCATCATCCACGCAGTGATTTTGGGCTTTATGACCGTCTCATGCTTTTTCTTTATCCCAGCAATAATATTTTCTGTCCTGGAAGATGATTGGAACTTTCTGGAGTCTTTTTATTTTTGCTTCATTTCTCTCAGCACCATCGGCCTTGGCGACTATGTTCCAGGAGAAGGTTATGACCAAAAATTCAGAGAGCTGTATAAAATAGGAATTACATGTGAGTAGCAAACTAGCACACTAATAAGAAAAAGGCATATTTCTCCCTAATAGCTTTTTATATTATATAACTGCAGATACAAAAAAAAGTCAATAGGGTTTTTGAAATTCTTATTGAAGTTTTACTTTTTGTTTAATGTTTATATTACATTTTTTGACTCGTTGCTATAGAATATGTACAGGTAGTCCTTGACTTGTAACCATTTATTTAAGTGACTGTTCGAAGTTACAACGGCACTAAAAAAATGACTTAAGATTGTTTTTCACACTTAAGACCTTTGCAGCATCCCCATGGTCGGTCACATGATCAAAATTCAGATGCTTGGCAACTGGCATGTATTTATGACAGTTGTAGTGTCCCAGACCAGGCAATCATCTTTTGGACCTGACAAGACAAGTCAATGGGGAAGCCAGAGTCACTTAACAACCGTGTTACTAACTTAACAACTGCAATGATTCACTTAACAACTGTGGGAAGAAAATGAGCAGTAAAGCTCATTTAACAACTGTCTTGCTTAGTAATGGAAATTTTGGGCTGAATTGTGATCGTAAGTTGAGAACTACCTATATATTCTCATTCTGACAAGCAAAGTTAATCAGTCAGATATTACTAAATGCAATCAAATTCTTATAAATGATTCATAGAATAGCTATAAATTGTCTGTTTATAGGAACCAAAAATTAACAATTAAATGGAGCCACTATATTTTAAAAAAATATGTACAGTATATCAGAACCTTATTTTCTAGGACAGGAGGACACAAGCTGCAATCACCTCAAAGTTAGATGTGTCATCAGAGTTCCTCCAAAGAGTTCTGTCAAATTCTGATTCTTAACTTGACAAAAAGCAACTGGATATTCAGCTCTTTGGTTTTTATTCCTTATCTTAAAGTACATTTTCTTAAATGTGCTAATATTCTTAATATTTGCAAGGTTAATAGACTCTAGCACAGAGCAGAGTAGATCACTCCAAATACTTCTGATTTCCTATCACTCTTGGTAATGTATCTGATTGGTCATCTTCTGATCACATTTTAAAATATTTTATTACATGTGATTATGTAGCTTTTATCTCTTAGTTTTCAGCAGATGTTGTATACATAGGATAATGGGGTATTTCAGTGGTGAAATTCAAATATGTGAACAACCTGTTCTCTGTGTGGATGCTGCTTCCGGAAGTCCATTCTGGACCTGGGCAACAAAAAAAAATAGCTACCGGTTCTGCCAAAGTGGTGCGAACTGGCTGAATCCCACCACTGGGGTATTTACATTGAAACTGTGTAGATAATATGACCGTGAAACCCAGACTTTTGTTGATTGCAATGATTAGAATGATATTTTCAGACATAGATAAATTTAGTTCCAAATTTATGTTTAATTAGCAAGAGTATTATTGTTGATTGTATAACTCTTGTATTATACTCTGAATGTATAACTAATACTCTAGAACTCCATGTTAATCTACTTGCGGAAGAGATAAAGAGAGAGAGAGAGACAGATTGAGAGATTTTTGCTGGATTTTAATAAGCAGTTTTGATTGGTCATATATATATATTATCTTGAGTTTGGTGCACCCTGTCGGCCCAAATATGGGAGAAAGGAATCTTTTGCCTGTATCTGCTCAAACTAGAGCACCAAACTCAAGATAATTCTTCTCCCCTGTCTCATAGCTGACAAAGTGAGAAAGAGCCTGTGGTCTAGAGGTTAATACATCTGCCTAACATGCAGACATCCCAGGTTCGAATCTCAGAAGGGTATGTCTGGTTGAAAAGAACTAAAAAGTTCGAAATGGCTATTCCAGTTCTCCCTTAATTCTTTGTTAGCAATCCAAATTTTGAAATATATATGTAATATATATTACAAAATTACATGGTTAGTCAAATCACACTATAGATGAGCATTATTCATGCCTTTTTTATATGTTTGATAATTATGTTAGTCAGTACACAAGATGGTGTGCAATTCTGCTTAAGAGTCCTAGTGTTTTGATTTAAGTCTTTCAGAATGTGGCAGATTTCATGGGGACATGCAGAAGGATTGCATGGCCTAGACACTCAGAGTTTCTGGATTAGCCATTAATACTTTTTCACTGTGGAGATTTGCACCGCTTCAGAATGGTATGACCTACATTCAATCAATTCATAGTTCATCAACTCTTATCATTCTTTCCTAGGTTACCTGTTGCTGGGCCTCATTGCAATGCTGGTTGTTCTAGAGACTTTCTGTGAGCTTCATGAACTAAAAAAATTTAGGAAAATATTCTACGTGAAGAGAAACAAGGAAGAAGACCAAGTGCACATTACAGAACATGACCAACTGTCCTTCTCTTCAATTTCAGACCAGGCAGCATCCATGAAGGATGACCAGAAAATAGATGAGCCTTTTGTGACTCCTCAAGCTACACTTAACTGTGATGGCTTTATAAACAATTAACCAAGGGCTTCCATTCCAGTATCAACAACAGTGCACTTAACATTCTTGCAGTTAGAACTAATACTGTTAATGTAATTATAGAAGCAGGAATGCTGTGCTCTACTATTCATATATTCATAATGCTTTGGGATCTTTTCCAATTTATGGGCCAAAAGGAGGTATTTTTGTTGCTGGTTCTACATATTGGGAATGCTTAGCGTGCAGTTGAGAACCTCAGGCTTTATGATGTATACACAGTATACAAGATAAGACTATCCTGTTCAGGCTTTCCCGCCCAAGAATCAACAAAGTAATTTCCTTTTTAACAAAGATTAGTCTTTCGTATGCCAATTTCATGCATGGCAACAAATCTTTGGAAAGCACTGAGTTAGTAAATCTTCATGCTTTCCCCATAAGGAAATATGGTAGCCACAGCAGCACTTGGAAAATAGGAATAATCTTCCAGATGGCAGTCACTGAGCTATGTGGCAGTGCATTTATCACTACAGAACCCAAAAGTGAGAACCAAGTTTATTCAATCTGTTATGCACTCAGTCATTCTAAATTCTGAAAACATTTAGGGTTTGTCTCAGTATGAATAAGGCAAACAAACAGCCATTCTGAAATATCTCTCCCCGGTCTAATGTACTACTCTGATCTATCACCTCTATCCTGTGTACAGTCTGGAGAGGGAGTTTGGACAAAGAGGTTTTATGTGTGGCAGAAAGTTGCTTAGAGTTTTACACTTGCTACACACTAAGCCTACATCAAGTAATTTTACTCCAAAATATATTCTGCATGTAGACTTTACTAAGCCTGAATGTGATCTCTGGGTGTTTTCCTTCTAGCCTTAAATACCACAAAAGGATGTTATGCGACAGATTTGAGAGGGTTGTAGGAACAGGGACCTGCGAACACCAGCATACAGAACTGAAGGCATATTACAGTGGAAAGCCATCTTCCTTAGCATTTTCACTTCACGCTGGGCTCCAGTTTTAGTAGACTGCCTGTGAGTTTTCAAACTATTCATAGCCAAGCAGTTGTAGAGCTATGATCTTATTTATTCAGTGAAATAATAATCAAGCTGAATATTGAAGTAATGAAGAAAAGAGAAAAATACTTGAAAGCTCTTATCACCTAAAAGCACTGTACATGAATTTAATGTTTATTAATAGATTTTGTACCTTTACTAGGGAAGGACTTTCTTGATAAATCTGCTTCAAAATCTATGTGAATTGAAATTTATTTTTAAGAAACCACAACTCAGAGATGCTTCTTTAATTTGATTTGAAGCTTGGTGTAGTGCATGCTCATGAAAGCCGATATTTTTATACCACTTAATGTTTGTTTCGATTGTATAGTTCAACTTTTATTTATGTACATAAATATATTTATATATTGTGCATATCATGCAGATTGTTAGAAATGAAATGTCAGATTTGAAATTTTAAAGGTTCTTTTCCTCATAGATTTTTTTTTAATTAAGAAAAAATCATTCAAACTATGGCACTGAAAAGAATGACTTAAATTCTGACCAAATGAATGTGGAAGGATAAGTCATTATGCCTGCAATGTTAACATTCCTGTTTTGTTTTGTTTTCTTTTAATATGACAGCCTACTCATATTGATGACAGTATTTCCAAGTAGCTTGAATGCTGCAGCATCCTTCATACTGTATTGTACTATAGACTTCAGATTTTATTGACAATTGTTGCCTGGAAACAGGTGAAGCTGCATAATTGCACAAAGTTGTTTTGTTTTATTTTTTTAAGTAAGAACATAATAAAGCTTAGTTAGAATAAGGGTACTGTAAAAAAAACCTGTAGAGATAAGGAATTATTATTCTAACAATTAGTATTTCAGACTTTTAAAATAAATCATGTATGGTTCCAATTCTCTCTCTCTTTTTTTGACATTCTAATATTTAACTGTGAATTTACTTGTCGCATGAGACAAGATATATATTACCACCACTGTTACCACTACCACTAGCTTCTTCAGTACACATCTGCCACATCCCATCTGGACTTAGTGACAGGTGTTCAGTGCCCTATGTTCAATAGAGTAGAATGCAAAATGGTATATTATTATTATCATCATACACATAACAGTGTAAAATCACGGATGCCACTTCTTTAGCTAGTGTTGGCCTTCATTCATTGAGTATAAATCACCGGGACCTGACAGATTGCACCCCAGAGTTCTAAAGGAGCTTGCAAATGTCATCTCAGAACCACATGTTTTAAAAATCCCGGAGCACCAGGGAACTACCAGAGGACTGGAAAAGAGTTGATGTAGTTCCCATCTTCAAAAAAAAAAAAGGGGGGGGAACCAGACCCAGGAAACTACAGACCAATCAGCCTAACATCAGTACCAGGAAGATACTGGAAAAGATAATAAAACAACAGATCTGCGAACATTTAGGAGCAAGTAAAATGATAACGTCAGCACGGGTTTGTTAAAAACAGATCATGCCAAACCAATCTTATTTCATTCTTTGACAAAGTGACTAAATTAGTAGACCAGCAAAATGCTGTGGACATAGTATACTTAGACTTCAGCAAGGCATTCAACAAAGTAGATCACAATCTACTTCATGGTAAATTAGAAAAAAGTGGGATAGATAGCATCACCATCAGATGGATTTGTAACTAGCAGACAAACTGTACTCAACGAGTAGTCCTTAATGGTACTACGTTTACATGGAGGGAACTAAGAAGTGGGAATAGAAGGGGAACTTATCAAATTTGCAGATGATACTAAGCTAGAAGGAACAGCCAATACCCTAGATTGGGTCCCCAACCCCTTGTCCGGCCCCAGTCTGCAGCATTCCAGAAACGTCCACAGAAACAAGCAAAGCCCTATCCATGGGATGCAGGCAGCCTACGAAACCACACCCACTCCCGGTCCATGGAAAAACCTCTCTCCACGGAACCAGTCCCTGGTGCCCAAAAGGTTGGGGGCCTAATACACTGTAAAGCTATACCTTTTCTCATAACTACTCCTAGTTAATAGTTTGGCTATATCATTCTTGACCAATTGAAGTCTCTCAAAAACTTTTCATAGGCAGCCCCACATAGCCTGCAGTAAGATAATCGAAACAGGAATTTCAACCTGCCAACACTCCAAAAGACAGGCTTAAGATACAGAAGGATCTTGACAGACATGAACACTGGGCGCTATCTAACAAAATGAAATTCAATGGTGAAAAAAGTAAGGTTCTACATTTAGGCAGGGCTTTTTTTTCTCATAGAACGCCCAGAACGGAATTCAGTGGAACAACCTGCCTCCAGAAGCTGTGAATGCTCCAACACTGGAAGTCTTTAAGAAGAGATTGGACAGCCATTTGTCTGAAATGGTATAGGGTTTCCTGCCTGAGCAGGGGGCTGGACTAGATGACCTCCAAGGTCCCTTCCAACTACTACTACTACTACTACTNCTTCTTCTTCTTCTTCTTCTTCTTCTTCTTCTTCTTCTTCTTCTTCTTCTTCTTCTTCTTCTTCTTCTTCTTCTTCTTCTTCTTCTTCTTCTTCTTCTTCTTCTTCTTCTTCTTCTTCTTCTTCTTCTTGTTATCTTATCATCAGGTCTGACATGGGAACAGTTAACATGCTAGCCTGAGCTGGGCAAATGCACGACTGACTACAGGCAGTTCTCAATTAATGATGGTAATTGAGATCCAAATTTCCATTGCTAACTGATGTGGTCATAAATTGCAATGTCACATGACCGCATCGCTTAGTGACAGCAATCCCTGCAGTCCCTGTTGCTATCATTAAGCAAGGTTTGCAGGTCATTAAGTGATCCTGCTGGCCTTTAACAATCAAAGACAGTGGGGAAGCCAGCAAGAAGTTGCAAGCAAGCCAGTAGGATGGTTAGTGGCTTATGTCTGGCAGGGGAGATGTCAAATGTGAAGAATCAGGACCACATGTTAAGTTCCAGTTAAGCTGCTTTATTGCTCATGTCTATACACAAGAATCTAGTCAACTAACAGTCAGCATTAAATTGGCACTAGATAAGCATTAACAGAATTCAAGGTGGTGGTGGTGGGGCTGGATGTGGATTACTTGTGGGAATGTAACAACTCTAGGCTGATTCCTCTCTTGACTCTGCCCCAAGGCTAAGCCTAGTCTTCCCCTACAGGAGAGTATATGAGGGTGTGCAGGTGGCCAGGAAACTGCAGCAGGAGTATAGCAAAATTCAGTGATGGTGAGAAAATGGCAGCGAGGCATGGATGGATGAGGGTATGCAAGTGGCTGGGGAGCCATGACAGTAAGGCTGGGGAGAAGTAATGTGAGTGCAGCAAGCAGCAAGGCTTGAGGTTGCTGCTGCTGGGTGCAGGAGGGTGTTCAAAGATGTGGCATAGTGTGATCATGAGGCTCGGGGTGGCTGCTGGGTGCAGAATCACCTGAGTAATTTGCAACCTTCCCTGCTGGCTTCCTGATTTTGCTGTGGGAAGCCATCAGGGAAGACCGCAAATGGTTGTTATATGACTGTGGAATGCTGCAAACATCATAAGTGTGAGATGGTTGCCAAGCACCCAGATCACAATCATGTGACTTCAAGGATGCTGGGATGGATGGAACTTCGAGGACCAATCCTAAATTATCACTTGTTTAGTGACTCTATAACTTTGAATGGTTGCTGAATGGTCGTTAAGTAAGGACTACTTATACCACTGATTTCTGAGTATCAGACTGAAACTATCAGTCTGGAAGTTATTGTGAATCTGATTCTTCAAGGAGAAGGGGGACATAATTTGCTTTTTTTTTTTTTGCACAGATAAAAATTTATATTGTTTGGATTTATTTACAACCAATATCAAATTGGTTAGAAACTGATATTTTTCTAAGATTTAAATGGAGAAGTGAAATTAGAGTTACTCAGCCCACTGGTGATAATTGCCCCAAATGTGATGCCTGGCCACTTCCACTAATTTTATATGTGAGATAAAAGGGTGACACATTTGTTTTATCAAAAGCAATTTATATTACACCTTATGGGTGTTTCTATTAGATAGTCTAATCTAGACTATCTACTGGAACTGTTGAAGCGGCTTGGAACTACATAAAGTCAAACTGTTTTTATTTCTTCACTTTTAGAAGCGTTGTGTACTGCTTTGTATGTACCTTTGAAGCTTTGCAAACCATAATGTATATATTAAATAGGATGGGGACATTGAATAGAGGCATTCCCTTCAAGCATTACCGTCTGAAACCATTCTTCCGAAAGAATTGGAGTCAGCCATGAACCGGGCACATTCCAGCTACTGAAAAACTACATACTATTCATAATAATTGAGAGCTACATGATGGCAGCAAGTGTTGTATAATCACACTGAGTTCCCCACGCCCAAACAGAACAACAGGAGTGTTTTTATTAGTCCTTTCAGTGTAGATCTATTCATTTCTTTTAATGAAACATCCATATCGGATTACAGAAAAAAGAAGAAAAGATAAGTTAAAATATCTATGAGAAGTAGGCATGTAGAGAGCATCATGCAAAGCAAAATTAATTATGCTTAGACAATTGACTTAGTGTTTTTCAAGCATCTAAGTATCAGTAATATATTTTTGCCAGGAAAAATGAAACCAACAGAAAATAACCATGCTCTTCAAAGAGCATTTTTATAGTTCTTGCTAAATTGGAAAAATATATTTAATTTCATTCCCTTTTTTGAAAAAAAAATCTATTTCATGATCCCCACTACTCAGCAGATTATCAATGTTTGCCCTCTGGTGGCCAGTTGGGTGGTGCTGATGTGTTGTAGCTGCAGTTAAATACAGCATAGCTTCTGTGTTAACTCTGGTGCACTTTTTTCCATCTCGGGAATGCTTTGAAGTCTCCATATATCTGCCAGCTTCTAGGCCATCGTGTCTACTATGTGCTCTTTGGTTCCTTTAGAAAGATTATTGTAGAGCTAGTCAGAGAGTTGGATCAATTATTTCTTTTGATTATATTGGCTCTCCTGCATTTGGACCAGATAATATACAGCCCGCCGTTTTCACTTTGTGGGAGACAAAATCATCTGCTTTCCATCATAAAGTCCTAAATTTCCTTTCCGCACTTTCTTACAATTTGTAAAGCCAATTTGATATAATGGTTAAGGCACCTAGAAACCAGAAGTCCATGAATTCTAGTCCCACCTAAGGCACCTAGAAACCAGAAGTCCATGAATTCTAGTCCCACCAGAAGTCCATGAATTCTAGTCCCACCCACAGTAGGGTGATCTTGGGCCAGTCACTCTTTCTCTAGGAAAGAGGCAAGGGAAAACCAGTTCTGAAACCTTGCCAAGAAAACTGCAGGGACTTGTCCAGGCAGCCTCTAGGACAGGGGTAGGCAACCTTGGTTCTTTTATGACTTGTGGACTTCAATACCCAGAATTCTTGAACCAGCCATGCTAACCCAGGAATTCTGGGAGTTGAAGTCATAAAAGAGTCGAGGTTGCCTACCCCTACTCTAGGAGTTAAACTGACTCAAAGCCATGTGCACGCACACACACACGTACAGGAACAATTCTAAGTCTTCACCATGGTCTTAAATAGTAGCTGACTATATTTATTTAATCAAATTTATTATGGCCTGTTGAAAGAAAAATCTTCATCAGGGTCCAGTCCAAGCTGGGAATAATGAAAGTGGAGACTGCTTTAGAAAGAAGGTTGCAGTTTATTGAAGAGGAGAGCCAGATAGAAAGATGGCTCTGGAAGAACTGACCACATGGAGCAGAGCAGTGGGCTTTTATACCTTCTGGAGTTCTTGAGGTTGTTTCCTGTTCCTGTTTGAGGCTTTGTATTTCCTGTGTCATGTACTTTGACTTGAGTCTGAGTGTGCCCTTTTAGTATTGGTGGATTAATCCTATTATGTTTCCTGTCCTTAGAA